GCTGCTGGATACTGGGATACATGGCTGCTGGATACTGGGATACATGGCTGCTGGATACTGGGATACATGGCTGCTGGATACTGGGATACATGGCTGCTGGATACTGGGATACATGGCTGCTGGATACTGGGATACATGGCTGCTGGATACTGGGATACATGGCTGCTGGATACTGGGATCATGGCTGCTGGATACTGGGATACATGGCTGCTGGATACTGGGATACATGGCCCGCTGGATACTGGGATACATGGCTGCTGGATACTGGGATAACATGGCTGCTGGATACTGGGATACATGGCTGCTGGATACTGGGATACATGGCTGCTGGATACTGGGATACATGGGTGCTGGATACTGGGATACATGGGTGCTGGGAAAACTGGGATACATGGCTGCTGGATACTGGGATACATGGCTGCTGGATACTGGGATACATGGCTGCTGGATACTGGGATACATGGCTGCTGGATACTGGGATACATGGCTGCTGGATACTGGGATACATGGCTGCTGGATACTGGGATACATGGCTGCTGGATACTGGGATACATGGCTGCTGGATACTGGGATACATGGCTGCTGGATACTGGGATACATGGCTGCTGGATACTGGGATACATGGCTGGATACTGGGATACATGGCTGGATACTGGGATACATGGCTGGATACTGGGATACATGGCTGGATACTGGGATACATGGCTGGATACTGGGATACATGGCTGGATACTGGGATACATGGCTGCTGGATACTGGGATACATGGCTGCTGGATACTGGGATACAAGGCTGCTGGATACTGGGATACATGGCTGCTGGATACTGGGATACAAGGGCTGCGGATACTGGTACATGGCAGGATAACGGGATACATGGCTGCTGGATACTGGGATACATGGCTGGATACTGGGATACATGGCTGGATACTGGGATACATGGCTGCTGGATACTGGGATACATGGCTGCTGGATACTGGGATACATGGCTGGATACTGGGATACATGGCTGCTGGATACTGGGATACATGGCTGCTGGATACTGGGATACATGGCTGCTGGATACTGGGATACATGGCTGCTGGATACTGGGATACCTGGCTGCTGGATACTGGGATACATGGCTGCTGGATACTGGGATACATGGCTGGATACTGGGATACATGGCTGGATACTGGGATACATGGCTGCTGGATACTGGGATACATGGCTGCTGGACACTGGGATACATGGCTGGATACTGGGATACATGGCTGCTGGATACTGGGATACATGGCTGGATACTGGGATACATGGCTGCTGGACACTGGGATACATGGCTGGATACTGGGATACATGGCTGCTGGATACTGGGATACATGGCTGCTGGATACTGGGATACATGGCTGGATACTGGGATACATGGGGTGCTTTGGGTACTGGGATACATGGCTGGATACTGGGATACAGGCTGCTGGATACTGGGATACATGACTGCTGGTACTGGTACATGGCTGCTGGATACTGGGATACATGACTGTGGATACTGGGATCATGGTGCTGGATCTGGGATACATGGGCTGCGGATACTGGGAACATGGGCTGCTGGATATGGGATACATGGCTGGATAAATGGGATAAATGACTGTGGATACTGGGGAACATGGCTGGATACTGGGATACATGGGCTGCTGGATATGGGTTACAGACTGTGGTTTCTGGGTACATGGGTGCTGGATACTGGGATCTGGCTGCTGGTACTGGGGTACATGGGCTGCTGGTACTGGGATCATGGCTGATGGATACTGGATACATGCCCGTGGATACTGGGATATGGCTGCTGGTACTGGGATACATGACTGCTGGATACTGGGATACTGGCTGCTGGATAGGGATACATGACTGTGGAATCTGGATACATGATGCTGGAACTGGGATACATTGGCTGGCTGGATACTGGGATACTGGTGGATATGGGATTCATGGCGCTTTGGGTACTGGGATACATGGTGCTGGATATGGGATACATGGCTGGATATGGGTACATGGCTGTGGATACTGGATACATGACGCTGGATCTGGGATACATGGCTGCTGGATACTGGGATACATGGCTGCTGGAACTGGAACAGACTGCTGGATACTGGGATACAGGCTGCTGGGTACTGGGATACAATGACTGCTGGGTACTGGATCAAGGCTGCTGGATACTGGATACATGGCTGTTGATACTGGGATACATGCGCTTGATACTGGGATACATGCTGCTGGATACTGGGATTTCATGGCTTCTGGATAATGGGATAAGGCTGCTGGGTACTGGGATACATTTGGCGCTGGGATACTGGATAAATGGCTGGATTGGGAATTTTCATGCTACTGGATACTGGGGTACATGACTGCTGGAACTGGGGTACATGGCTTTCTGGGATATGGGATACTGGCTGCTTGATTTGGGTTTCATGGCTGCTGGATACTGGGATACATGGCTGCTGGATACTGGGATACATGGCTGCTGGATACTGGGATACATGGCTGCTGGATACTGGGATACATGGCTGCTGGATTATGGATACATGGCTGCTGGATACTGGATACATGGCTGCTGGTACTGGGATAATGACTTTCTGGAACTGGGATTTCATGGTTTACTGGAGGCTGTGGTCTGTCGGAGGCTGTGGTCTGTTGGAGGCTGTGTCTATCTGGAGGATTGGGGCTGTCTGGAGGCTGTGGTCTATCTGGAGGATGTGGTCTATCTGGAGGCTGTTGTCTGTCTGGATGTTACGATTTATCTGAGGTTATGGTCTGTCTGGAGGTTATGGTCTGTCTGGAGGTTATGGGGTTTGTCTGGGTTATGGTCATCTGGGGGGTGGTTTTATCTGGAGGATGTGGGCTATCTGGAGGCTGTGGTTTTCTGGAGGTTTGATCTATCTGGAGGCTGTGGTCTGTCTGGAGGCTGTGGTCTGTCTGGAGGTTATGGTATATCTGGAGGCTGTGGTCTGTCTGGAGGTTATGGTCTGTCTGGAGGTTATGGTCTGTCTGGAGGTTATGGTCTGTCTGGAGGTTATGGTCTGTCTGCGGCGATGTGGTCCGTTTTTCAGGGTGTGGTCTGTCTGGACGATTTTCGCTGCGTGGAGGGGTGGTAGTTGGAGGCTGTGGTTCTTCTGGACGTTGTTGGTCCTGTGGAGGTTGTGGTATGTCTGGAGCTGTGGTCCATCGGGAGGCAGTGGTAGTTTGGAGGCTGGGTATGTCTGGAGCTGTGGTTACGTTCTGGGGGTTCATAGATGTAAAAAAAAAATAAACAGAATGGGATTGGAAGACATAAGATGAGAGAGACGAGAGAGGGAAGAGAGAGAGAGAGAGAAAGGGGAGGAGTGAGAGAGAGGAGAGAGTAGAGGGGAAAAGGGAGAGAGAGGCAGGCGAGGACCGTCAACAACCTCACGTCCACTCTTTAAAACCAGCAATCACTCTTCAAGTTTCTCAAACTGATTGTTTCTAGTTAATTACCTGGCTGATTGTGGTGTCTGCTGGCTGATGTTGGTAATGTGCGGTCGCTGGTTGATTGCTGGTAATTGTGTGTCTGCTGGTTGGGTTGCTGGTAATGTGTGTTCCCGTGGTTGATTGCCCCTGGTAATGTGTGTCTGCTGTTGATTGTTGGTAATGTGTGTGTCTGTACCTATTGTTGTATGTCGTGTCTGCTGGTTGATTTTGGTAATGTGTTGTTCTGGGTTTATTTTTGGTAAAAGTGTGTGTCTCTGGTTGAAAAGTTGGAATGTGTTGGGTTTTGGGTTGATTTTTTGGGAATGTGTGTGTTGTGGTTGTTGTTGGTAATGGTGTTCTGTGGTTGATTGTTGGTAATGTGTGTGTCTGTGGTTATTGTTGGTATGTGTGTGTTGCTGGGATAGTTGGTAAGTGGTGTCTGTGGTTGATTTTTTTGGAAATTTTGTCTGCTGGGTGATTGTTGGGATGTGTGTGTCTGCTGGTTGATGGGAATTGTGTTGCTGGGGGTTGTTGGTAAAGTAAGGTTGCTGGTTGTTATTGGGAATGTGGTTGGCGGCTGATTGTTGGGAGTGCGGTCTCTGGTTTTATGTTGGGAAAGTGTGTGTCGCTGGTTGATTTTTGGTAATGTGTGGGTTGCTGTTTGAATTTTTGGTAAATGTGTGTGTTGCTGGTTTTTGTTTGGGAATGTGTGTGTTTTGTGGTTGATTGTTGGTAATGTGTGTGTTGCTGGGTTTATTGTTTAATGGTGTGTCTGCTTTGATAGTTGGTAATGTGTGTGTCTGTGGTTGATTGTTGGTAAATTTTGTCTTTCTGGGTGTTGTTTGGGAATTGTGTTGCTGGTTTATGGTAATTGGGTCGTGGGGGATTTTTGGGAATGTATGTGTCGCGGTTATTATTGGGAATTGTGTTTGCTGGGGTTTATTGTTTGGGAATGTGGTGTCTGCTGGTTTATTGTTGGTAATGGTGTTGCTGGGTTTATTGTTGGAATGTGTGTGTTGTGGTGATTTTGGGAATGTGTGTCTACGGGATTGTTGATGTGTCTGCGACTGTTGGCAATGGTCGCTGGGGGATTTTGTGTGGGGTGCTGGCTGATTGTTGGTAAAGTGTTTCTTCTGGTGATCATTGATGGGAAAAATGTGCATACAAATGGTTGGTAAAGGTACCTATGATTCCCGGTGTTTTCCTCAAATTTCCCCAGCACCTCAGTGCGCCTGTTACCTTCGCCAAAGGGGATCCTTAAAGGGTTTTGGGGCCCGTTAGTCAGGTTTTTGTGAGAGCCTGGTAATTGAGGAGGGTTTTTCCCCTGGTTCCGGTCTTACCATCTACTCTTCACAGGCTTCTCGCTTATTAAGATCTTAATTGACAAATCCTTCATTTAAGTAAGTACCTTACCTGATGTCTCATTAAGTGAGGGCCTTACCTGATGTCTAATTAGGTGAGGCCCTTACCTGAAGGCCTAATTAGGTATGAAGCTTACCTAGTGGAGGGAGAAAGAGAACGAGAGAGAGCAGGAACAGGTTACCTGATAGTCCTTGGAAGCTTCGGTGTCGTGAGCTGTGAGTCCCTGAAGCTTGGCCTTAGACTTTGCATGTCTCCTGAGGAAGTAGAGTACCGTGGCGGCCACCAGCAACGCCGCCATCACCCCGCACACCACCGCTGCAGCCGCCAGGATGTGCTGCTCCCCAGAACTGAACACCACCGCTGACATGGTCGTCTGTAAGAGAAACAAACAAACACAAGTTGACACAGTCGTCTGTAAGAGAAACAAAGCTGACATAGTTGTTTATAAGAGAAACAAGCACAAGCTGACAGAGTCGTCTACTAGAGAAACAAACAAACACGTTCGTTAAATGCTTCTTACTGTTGCTGTTCCAGGAAGTGAAGCAAAACACTACAGTAGAAAGGTTAATCATGGTTCACCACAACTAAGCATACACTAATGACCCTTTCAGGTTTAACTCTTACCTCCTCCCTAGTATACACTAGGGAGGAGGAAGGGTAGCGTGGGTCACCACTCTCACTACAACTATGTACGGTCCTGCACATCAGGCAGGAGGGTGGGTATGGTGGCAAAGGTTACAAAAGAATCTCATATCATCCTGGCTGGCTGTGTCAAGCTCTGCCTCAGGTCCCTTCAAATCCGTTTACAATGACTTGAAAGGGACTGGAGTTAGAGCTAGAGTTTGGAATTTTAGAATTAAATAAATTCGTGACAGGAAGATGATAACTTAAGGATTTAGAGACTTAGGTGTAAGGAAGAGTGTAAAAGAGCATTTTTGTCTGTAAGATCCTGTATTTGTGGTCACAGCGAGGCCCATACTAACCTTCCCAGTGTATAGAAACACAGCAGGTTGTATGAATCTTCTTAGATTACTATGTTAGTGGACAACGCAATGACCTTTGCCACTTCAAGAACTTGCCATGGTTCGAACCCCACTCCCCCCTTCCTGTTCAGTGAGATTATTAATTATAGTAATTATTACAGCTGGTGTATAGTGAATGACAGTGTTTATTTTGTCATTTAACATACGGAGGATCGATCCTCTATCACTCCATGCGCTGTGTAACCCAAAAGGGTTTAGCTCTTCACTTAAAATGTCTCGCATCCGTGTGAACCAAACCTATCACAATAGAGAGTACACACACCCGTGTGTGTGTGTGTGTGTGTGTGTGTGTGTGTGTGTGTGTGTGTGTGTGTGTGTGTGTGTGTGTGTACGTACGTAAGTACTCGGCTACTCACCAATATGTGGTTACACTGGTCGAATTTCAGTTGCTAGTCGTGTGTGTGTGTAACATATGCAGTATATATACGTATAGTGAACATGTATCTTCGAGTATATAGAGTATACTGAGCTTTGTATATTATTCTAGAGACAGCAGTATCCTTGATGTTACTACATGTGTTGTGGTCTTGTGTATGTCTAGTTCCCAGGTTCAGCACATCCCTCTCTCCATAACAGTCCACCAGCCCCTCAAGACGGTCCAGAGTTTTCTAAGATGGTCCATCCACCTCCAAGACGGTCCTCCTCCACCCACCTCCAAGACGGTCCTCCTCCACCCCCCTCCAAGACGGTCCTCCTCCACCCATCTCCAAGACGGTCCTCCTCCACCCACCTCCAAGACGGTCCTCCTCCACCCACCTCCAAGACTGTCCTCTTCCACCCCCCACCAAGACGGTCCTCCTCCACCCACCTCCAAGACGGTCCTCCTCCACCCCCACCTCCAAGACGGTCCTCCTCCACCCACCTCCAAGACGGTCCTCCTCCACCCCCCTCCAAGACGGTCCTCCTCCACCCATCTCCAAGACGGTCCTCCTCCACCCACCTCCAAGACGGTCCTCCTCCACCCCCCTCCAAGACGGTCCTCCTCCATCCCCCTCCAAGACGGTCCTCCTCCACCCACCTCCAAGACGGTCCTCCTCCACCCACCTCCAAGACGGTCCTCCTCCACCCACCTCCAAGACGGTCCTCCTCCACCCCCCTCCAAGACGGTCCTCCTCCACCCACCAAGACGGTCCTCCTCCACCCACCTCCAAGACGGTCCTCCTCCACCCCCCTCCAAGACGGTCCTCCTCCACCCACCTCCAAGACGGTCCTCCTCCACCCCCCTCCAAGACGGTCCTCCTCCACCCACCTCCAAGACGGTCCTCCTCCACCCACCTCCAAGACGGTCTCTCCTCCACCCACCTCCAAGACGGTCCTCCTCCACCCACCTCCAAGACGGTCCTCCTCCACCCACCTCCAAGACGGTCCTCCTCCACCCACCTCCAAGACGATTCTCCTCCACCCCCCTCCAAGACGGTCCTCCTCCACCCACCTCCAAGACGGTCCTCCTCCACCCCCCTCCAAGACGGTCCTCCTCCACCCCCCTCCAAGACGGTCCTCCTCCACCCACCTCCAAGACGGTCCTCCTCCACCCACCTCCAAGACGGTCCTCCTCCACCCACCTCCAAGACGGTCCTCCTCCATCCACCTCCAAGACGGTCCTCCTCCACCCACCTCCAAGACGGTCCTCCTCCACCCACCTCCAAGACGGTCCTCCTCCACCCACCTCCAAGACGATCCTCCTCCACCCACCTGCAAGACGATCCTCCTCCACCCCCCTCGAAGACGGTCCTCCTCCACCCACCTCCAAGACGGTCCTCCTCCACCCACCTCCAAGACGGTCCTCCTCCACCCACCTCCAAGACGGTCCTCCTCCACCCACCTCCAAGACGGTCCTCCTCCACCCACCTCCAAGACGGTCCTCCTCCACCCACCTCCAAGACGATTCTCCTCCACCCCCTCCAAGACGGTCCTCCTCCACCCACCTCCAAGACGGTCCTCCTCCACCCCCCTCCAAGACGGTCCTCCTCCACCCCCCTCCAAGACGGTTCTCCTCCACCCACCTCCAAGACGGTCCTCCTCCACCTCCCTCCAAGACGGTCCTCCTCCACCCCCCTCCAAGACGGTTCTCCTCCACCCACCTCCAAGACGGTCCTCCTCCACCCACCTCCAAGACGGTCCTCCTCCACCCACCTCCAAGACGGTCCTCCTCCACCCACCTCCAAGACGGTCCTCCTCCACCCACCTCCAAGACGGTCCTCCTCCACCCACCTCCAAGACGATTCTCCTCCACCCCCTCCAAGACGGTCCTCCTCCACCCACCTCCAAGACGGTCCTCCTCCACCCCCCTCCAAGACGGTCCTCCTCCACCCACCTCCAAGACGGTCCTCCTCCACCCACCTCCAAGACGGTCCTCCTCTACCCACCTCCAAGACGGTCCTCCTCTACCCACCTCCAAGACGGTCCTCCTCCACCCACCTCCAAGACGGTCCTCCTCCACCCCCCTCCAAGACGGTTCTCCTCCACCCACCTCCAAGACGGTCCTCCTCCACCCACCTCCAAGACGGTCCTCCTCCACCCACCTCCAAGACGGTCCTCCTCCACCCACCTCCAAGACGATCTTCCTCCACCCCCCTCCAAGACGGTTCTCCTCCACCCACCTCCAAGACGGTCCTCCTCCACCCCCTCCAAGACGGTTCTCCTCCACCCACCTCCAAGACGGTCCTCCTCCACCCCCCTCCAAGACGGTCCTCCTCCACCCACCTCCAAGACGGTCCTCCTCCACCCCCCTCCAAGACGGTTCTCCTCCACCCACCTCCAAGACGGTCCTCCTCCACCCCCCTCCAAGACGGTTCTCCTCCACCCACCTCCAAGACGGTCCTCCTCCACCCACCTCCAAGACGGTCCTCCTCCACCCACCTCCAAGACGGTCCTCCTCTACCCACCTCCAAGACGGTCCTCCTCTACCCACCTCCAAGACGGTCCTCCTCCACCCACCTCCAAGACGGTCCTCCTCCACCCACCTCCAAGACGGTCCTCATCCACCCACCTCCAAGACGGTCCTCATCCACCCACCTCCAAGACGGTCCTCCTCCACCCACCTCCAAGACGGTCCTCCTCCACCTCCCTCCAAGACGGTCCTCCTCCACCTCCCTCCAAGACGATCTTCCTCCATGATGATAAACTGAGAAAAGCAAGTTTCTTTTGCAGGTCTCATTCAGTCTTGTTGAGGATGATTACTTTTCCAGCGACACGACGTGAGTCTTAAGGCCTCATCGTTTGCCTCTGCCAGGGACAAATTCATTTTTTCCACTATATTTTCTTGCAACATCAAGCCTGATTGCACCAATCTCTGAGAGAGGAGAGTCTGTTGGTCTTTTTAAGCAGTAGCTGCAATGTCTAGCTGCTGTGCTATTAGTGAGATTACTGAGGCAGAAAGTCGCAACTTTCGCCTGACGTCTTTATGACTTTTGCTTGACGTCTCGCTCACAGTACTTGACAGGTTAACTTTCCTCTCACCTCTGTCATCTTTCACGGAGTTGCAGCTTCACTTTTTCAAGATCAAACCTTGTGTGTGTGTGTGTGTGTGTGTGTGTGTGTGTGTGTGTGTGCGTGTGTGTGTGTGTGTGTGTGTGTGTGTGTGTGTGTGTGTGCGCGTGTGTGTGTGTGTGTGTGTGTGTGTGTGTGTGTGTGTGTGCGTGCGTGCGTGTCTGTGTGTGTGCGTGTGCGTGTGCGTGTGGGGTGTGTGTGTGTGTGTGTGTGTGTGTGTGTGTGTGTGTGTGTGTGTGTGTGTGTGTGTGTGCGTGCGTGTCTGTGTGTGTGCGTGTGTGTGTGTGTGTGTGTGTGTCTGTGTGTGTGTCTGTGTGTGTGTGTCTGTGTGTGAGTGTGTGCGTGTCTGTGTATGTGTCTGTGTATGTGTACTCGCCTAGTTGTGGTTGCGGGTGTCGATTCACAGTTTCTGGCCTAGCCTCTTCACTGGTCGTTACTAGGTCACTCTTCCTGCTCCATGAGCTTTATCATACCTCTTCTTCAAACTATGTATGGATCCTACCTCCACTACATCATTTCCCAGACTATTCCATTCCTGACAACTTTGTGGCTGAAGAAATACTTCCTAACATCCCTGTGATTTAACCGAGTCTTTAACTTCCACATGTGACCCCTGAGTGCTGTGTCCCATCTCTGGAACATCCTGTCTCTGTCCCCCTTGTCGGTTCGTCTCAGTATTTTATATGTCGTTATCATATCCCCCCTAACTCTCCTGTCTTCCAGTGTCGTCAGGTCGATTTCCGTTAACCTCTCCTCGTAGGACATACCCCTTAGCTAGTTTCCTTATGTGCGTGGCTAGGTGTGGGTTCCAAACTGGTGCTGCATACTCCAATATGGGCCT